CAGAAACGCGCAGGATCAAACCACGACGCACACGGGGGCATTTTGCCTCTGTTCAAGTTAGAAGCCCTCCAATAGGCTCTCCGGCTTGCCCCCCACGCGAGACGCAGAAACCCGTTTTAAAAGTCCGTAGAGGAATGCATGCCGCCGGGCCTTTCACCTCTTTCACGAGAAAATATATTTTCATGCTTTTCGATCGTGTGCACCCGTCATCCGGCTGCCTTATTCTCGTGGCGGATATAAAATTTTTACGATGGAAACCATAACTACGCGCAATAAGAGAAATCGTTGATTAATTTTTTTTTTTTTTTGAAACATTGAAAATCGGAACATAATCTCAACGAGATCACCGATGTTTTATTTGGATGAAAGTTTCGTGATATATATATATATCTTTCACGAAACTTTATATATATATATATATATATATATATCGAAGCGAGATCTAACAATAAAAGATTGCTAAGTTCGAAACATAACAGGTTTGATGTTCTCGTGGATTAAGCTGACGTGTATACATATCGTATAATGGGAATGAGATTCTTATATGTTTAGCTATTACATGCACGATTACATGCTTAAGTCTTGCCACCATCAAAAGAGACGTGAGTACATTATCGCTGCTTGTTTAAAAGCTTGAGTGTAAACATTATAAGGTTTCTATAAATATTTGTATCTGAAATTCAAGGTAAGCTACTAGATTACTTTAACCCTCTATGGCATAAAAATCAAAAACTTCTATAGTAAAATTTTAAATATATTAATAAATGTTAAATTAATTTACGTAAAATTTCATGTATTTAAATTTTTAATAATTTGAAAAAAATATGCAAATATTTTTTTCAAGTTTTTAGTTAAGAGAAATCGATATTGTGATAAGAAGTATAAAATTCTTGAGAAAATCATGAATCATGAGTGAATGATCTGTCAACATTGTAACAAGAATAAATTTACAATCAAAACGAAATCCCAATTGCACAGAAAGTAACGAAAATCGATCGAAAATTATGTTGAAAGCACATTTAAACATTGCTTTGAGCACACAAAGGTTGACAAGAGTCGCCATTTTGAAATAATCGGTAAAGGATTTATCTTTTGTATCTTATTTAAATATATCACGTTCGACGGTTTGATGAAATTATATATATTTTTAGTATAAGGAATACATTGAAACTTAACTTAACTAGCTTGTAAAAAATCAAAAGGACGCGTTCTTAGATATCAGAAAGAAACATGACGCCTAGAATTCAACCTTGGGAGTATTATACTCACATCGATTTTGTTTTGTCTGTATTATGAATTTCGAAATTCAAATGATTCTTATATCAGAGAAAATATAATAATAGACTTACCTCATATTTAATACCATTGAGTCGCAACCATGTTTCCACCTTGAGACAATAAGGTGAGATGGATGGCAAAAGAGGTATTCGGGAGAACTGATATAGATAAACAACATCCTTCTCGAAGTTGGTTTTATGCACGCTGATAGCTTTGGTCGGTGCCGAGGATGGCGTAGCGGCCGCGGCGTCAGCGGTCTCTTCTTTTTTATTTTCTTCCTTTTTCGCCGCATCTTTCTCCTCCTGCTTATTGTCCGGCGGCGTTTCGTCCTTCAATGCTTCTTTCATCTCTTTCACATCTTTTATCTCTTTGCTTTCTGGCCCAGTATTTTCTGTTTCCGTTGCCATCGTCATTTTGATTATTTTTCACAAGTCCAACCGATTTTAATGAAAACGAGAAAACGTTTTGTACGAGCGAGCAAGGAAACAAACGTCGACGAACAAGTTCTCGAGCGACACTGGAAGCCTATCTCTCGAAGACAGCGCGCACCACACAAACGTATGCCGGGTACTCGTCGATCCCTCTGCTTGCCGGCCGGTTCCTTCTCGTCGCTGCCCCGTTCTATCCACAGTTCCTGTCCCCCCAGCTAAAATTGATGTTGCGCATGCGCAAGCGCCACACCCCACTGCTATCGCCATATTTAATTGGCCCGCCACCCCTGCCCGGTCCGCGTGCCACTCTTTCTCTCTTTCTCTGTTGATTCTACCTTTCTTTTTTCATCCAAGTCCTTTTGAATCCCTCCTTTCCTCCCGCAAAACCCCCATAAGCAGGTTCGCTTCCACTTCGCTGTGGTTAGTCTTGCCTGGCAACACTGCCGCCATCGCCATCTCAAGAGGGCCGAACAAACTCGCAACTATGTATTTAGGTACCCGGAATGAACTATGAAATACATTGTAATATATAATATATATATTTCTATTATTAAATTGTATCTCAATTTTCTTTTATTTATATACATGCTATTAGCAGTATTAATTTTTATAATTATATGATACAAGTAGTAGTTGCAGTGATAACATATATTTTTGTTTCATATATTTATTATATTTTAAATTTAGATTAATTCTAATGCTCTCGAGAGAGAAGAACAGGGCTCCATAGCGTTCTAGTTTCAGACCTGAACCAACCCAGCCAACTGCTCTTCTTATTTGTACAAAACCGGCAACGTCGCACCAGACCGGCGTAACAACGAACCCCTTTTCACGGATTACTTTTTTCCACTCTCTATCCGATAGACTCCATTTGGAAAACTACCTGCCACAACTTGCGCCGCCCATGGGTATAAATTCTCGAATCATACTTCTTTGCTTTTGTCTTTGCGCTTGATGTTTTATACTTTCCTCTCTTTCTTTCTTGGTTTTGTTCAATGATCTTTTCGTTCTTATTTTTTTTAAATATCGTATTGATTGTTAAGTCTATAAACGAGATTATTATGCCGTTATACAATTAATCCAGTCGGGATTATTTTTTCTGTAGATATCGTTTCGCTTAAGAATAAATATCAATAAGTGTTGCAAAAAGCCAAATTTTTTTATTTCAAGATACAAATTAATGATCGAAGAAATAAAAATTGATGTTCCAAATCATTTCAATTATCGATAGAGATATAACAAAAAAAAGACGTATAAATATCGGAATTATCATTTCTTTCATATATTTTACTTTTTTTGAAAATTAAATTTTAATATAACATATTATTTTTTAATTCTATGGAATTTTTTTTGGCAGTACAATGTTTTAACAAGGAAAGGAGATAACAACGTTTTAAAAGTGAATAAAAATTTATTTACTCCTGATGTGTGTTATAATATTCCCCACAATGTTCATGACAAATGTTCATATCGTTGTTCATAATGTGCGCGTTATCTGTCGAAAACTCTTGTGTATAACAGGAAAATCATTGACAACACTCATTTGAGACATAATTAAAATGCATAGTGTATATAGTTACTTCCAAATGATCGAAATTTTTTTATAGAAACTTGTTGCATTGCAAAATATTGAATAAATGTATCTGAAGTATATTTAATAATAGTTTAAATTTAGAAATATAAATGCATAAAAAGAGATAAATAGTAAAATATATACATATTTATCATTCGTACTTTTGCGCTAAAAAAAAATTTCATTCTTTTAATATTATTTTTTTTTTTGACTGAAGTTGGCACTATCAATGGCGAAAAATAATCAAATATTAACACTGATCGATCGATACCAACAAAATATAATGATATAATAATGGCCAATGAAATCCCTCAAATTCACATTTCAATGATCATTAAGATTATTATTATTATTATTAAAATAATATATATTAAATATTTTTTCTAAAAATATAAGTATATATTTGTATAAAAGTATACATGTGTATACTTCTAATAACATTTCTATTAAAATTAATGTACTCAAGATCTAAGAAAAATCATTCTAGAAATTGCACAATTGATTTATAATAGAATTGATAAAAAAAATTTAAATTTAATTAAATATTAAATTTTTTAAAATAAAAATGTAACTATTAAATTAAATAAAGAATTCTTTAATATTATCTAAAAAAATATTTATTATTTTAAAAAATGCTGATTATTGTAGAAAAAAAATATTTAAAAAATAATTTCATAAAACATAAATAAATTTCATCATTCATAATAACTAGAAAAAAAAAGAATTTATAT